CCTTGATTTCATATGGTGATTGGTTGTAATGCTTTACCTACAACTTGATGCCAGCCATGAGAAAGACAGTTGAAAATCCACTTCAGTGAGGCCCTACAGCTCAATGATTCTCAAAAGGCCAGCAAATGTGAGCTCTGACTGTGTAGTTGGTCTTCTCATCTCTCCAGCAGGGAGTACAGTGTGAAAGGTTAATGTAGCATAGGGAGGAAGAAGGACTTTGGTTCAAGTGGTTGAAGGAAGTGCTGCTTTGAGCTTGTTGAAGCCCTGGAGAAGGTCACACAAGAGTCAGTGCTCAGGCCATCGCACTTTCTGATCTGGCCAAATGACTGACTGAGATGCTGGATGTAAATCTGTTAAATCTCACAGGACAGGAAGTATTCTAGTACATGCAAGACAAGCAGCTAGAGGACATGAGCTATTTTGTGTGGATTATTCCACTGCATTACATGAAATACAATTTTGAGTATTAGAACTGCTTTTGTTGAAAAAGTTATATTAGCTGTAAAGTTACAAGATTGATCTCATTAAAAAAAATCTGTCTAAATTAAAGGGACCAAACCCAACCTTGAATAAAACTGTATTCATCTGAAAAATATCTAAATTGCGGACTATAAAGCAGAGAGATACAATATTTTCTATTTTAATAGAATAATATAAACCTAGGACATGTAATGTTGAAACTGTGTAGCAGTTTGTCTTCCATTCTTGATGAAGAAAACTGACTCCAACAATTCTTAAGTATGAGGATACCAAGTTCTGCAACCCTAAAGTTTTCCACAGCGTAAATTGCAGTAGTATATATTAAAAGAAGAGAAGATTTGAGAATTAATTAAAATAACTTTATATTTCTGGAACAGCTTTGTGTTTAAAATTTCTGTTAAATTTTGCAAATCAATAATACAGGAAATTTTTAAAATTACACCATGAAGCAACAACAGTAATACATATTTCCACTCGAACTTTTCGTTAGTTTCTATTACGAATTTGTTTACTCAGAGTGAACTGCACCTTTTAAATGTATGAATTTTCAGTGTTTCAGATTGTAGGGACTTAAAGGCTGGCTCTTTAAGAAAGAAGCAAAGTGCCATGTTTCTGCTGGGTAGTCAAAACTTGTTTTCTAGTTTTCCAAGAGCCCCAAAATGTTAAAATTAAGTGTATCTGATGCTTCTGTGATCCACTGGGCTTTACGTTAAGGTTCAAAAACTCATTTTGTTGCTGCTAACCTGGACTTGCTTCCAGGATGGTTAGAAGTGACCCCATCAGTCTGTCACTGCATAGACTTGTGAGGCTTGTCTCCAAAGACGGCCTGGTTGATTATCTGCATGTTCTGATTCCAAGAATGATGTGTCTTTGAAAGCAGAAGTGGAAATGTATGCTCCACATCTACTGAGGATGTTTCCTACCCTCTGAAAGCCCACAAAAATACCATAACACAGTGTTACAGAAGAACCCTTTCCTGGATTTTTAAAGGATTTTTGTTTGGGTTAGGCTTCTAGTTGGCAAGTTTTTACTCATTTCAAATTGGGAGAAAAAATATGTACTAAATGATGGCACTCTCAAAATCAAGGTCAGCTTCATCTTTTTGCACTGTAGCATATCTAACTTCAAGATTTTAATGTTTGATGGGCATATTTCATTTCTCAGGTGACAAACGTGGTTGACAAGGATCTGTGCTTTTTGCTGTTCCTTGTTCAACACCTTCTAAAAGGTGTGCCCTTTTAATGCCATGTGTCATGAACTGCTGGCAAGCTCTTAGTTTTGTTTTGCATATAGCTTGTCTCTCATTTCAGTAGCAGTTTTGTTAGTCCTGGTAGTAAAGTATCACGACTGTACCATTTGAGCTAGTATTCCTGGAAAAAATGGTGAATATTCATCTTTCTTTTAGGGAGGTCACCCATGGTTGTTTAGAATCCCTTAATTTTCCATGAGCATAAATATTTGCTAGAAGATGAATGATTTGAACCTTAAAGATGCTAAGCACCATTATTTTCTTTCAAGATGATTTGGGAGAAGTTAGACACAGGTTCTGCAGGAACAGCAGTCTGAAGAAACTGGAAACGGTTTGAAGAAATGTGGAGCATATGCTGCTTAAAAGCAAAGTGTTGACTATTCAAAGTCTTGAATATTGCTTTCTGCATGGTACAGCTTTGAGAATCTGATGGTTTTTTTATTCAGAGTATCACATTTTGTCCTTTTAATCTTTCAGGGACCCGTATCACACGATTGCCGCAATCAATCCAGAGAAATTAAATATCTTCCAAACAGTGAGAGAGATAACAGGTAACGCACTTCTGACTTCCTCTAATTTGAACTTCTCACTTTCTGTTTATGGTTGTCATTTTCTGGGTTGGCTGAAAACCACAAGGTGTTTTTTTTCTTTAAACTCACTGTGCTGTAAATTTCATAGATGTTTAGTACACAACAACTTCAGTATCAGTTGATATTCACAAGTCTGGTGTCCTTTGCTCATGAATACAGAATGCCCATTATGTTTGGGGTACACAAGCATCAGTAGACCAAGACTTTACTGTTGAGTGGGCAAGGGGTCTTGGTCTTCACCTGAAAGCATTTGAAATATGCCTTGGGAAAAAAGAGACAAGCCAATTTGGTTTTGCAGCTACTTCTCTTGGTTTAACACCAGATGCTGCTGCAGATTAGCTTCTGTAATTTAAAGACAAATGTCTAATGCGTGGGGTGTTAGTCCCTCCCATCTTTTAGACTTTTCAGTGGGGTCATATAGCTAGAACTCAGTACTTTATTGTCTTGCATCTTGCTTCTTGTTGCACCATTCAGGGGGCAGGAAGGAGATACTACAACTTTGAGTTCTCGATTGATTGCTGGTTATGTATAGATAGGGAAACGTAAAAAAAAAAAAAAATCCTATTTCATGCACCAAAAAAATATCTTTGGACACTACAGTATGATTGTAGCTGGATGGAGCTCAACATGTGCTTGGCATTTGAAATGTGTTCTCTCCCACGTGCTTCACCTCTCAGATGTTGTGTATTTCAGCAAGCCAGTGGGATTAAAAAATGAAAGTAAGCTCTAAATCTCTCCATAATTAATGTCAAAGATAATCTGGCATCTGGGTGTCTGTAATTTGCCATTCTTAAGCACATTGTCTAATTGGCAGTCTCAACTCTCCTACTTAAGTAGAATTACCCCTGTGCTTAAAGATGAACAATCCTGGAACACCCTCAGAACCGAATGCAAGTTTGTAGTTTTAGGAAAGTCTTGTCATCTTTTAATGTATCATAATGAATCTCTCAATTTCTGTCCTAAGTCTCTAGGCAATTTTAAAACTGAGTGTCCTTAATTCAGGCAAATCTTCATTTTTTTTTCCTGCTGCTGCTGCTTCGAAAAGACTGGGAGGCCTTGCAAGATTCCAGCCTGTGTTTAGGTTCACTCTCACTGTTGAAAGTGGATGTAATGCTGCTGTGACTGTTAGAGTCCTCCTTTGCCTTCTTGGAGGAGACAGTGGTGAGCAGGCTGATGAATTCAAAGACTTTAGTCTGCAGCATTTGTTGCCTATTTATTTATTTTTCTCAAACCATCGCTGTCTTTCATTTATAGGCTAAGCCTGTCCTAATTCATGTATGTGATAAGCCAGTCTTTATGGCTGAAATCATTGATGTTCATATGCTTCCTTTTTCTCTCTTAGGATATTTAAACATACAGTCATGGCCTGAGAATATGACAGATTTCAGGGTGTTTTCTAACTTGGTTACTATCGGTGGAAGAGCTCTCTATAGGTAAGGTACTTCCTCTGTGGAGGGAATCGGTTTTTTTGTTAGTATTCAATGATTCTTCATTATAAATTGCTATGTTTTTCTGTGTTACCAAGGTGTTCATTAACAGTGTCTTTGTTGATCAGTTGTTTATAATAGGCAATACCTTTAGAACATAACGGTTGAGTCACCATCCCTGGAGGTATTTAAAACACGTGTAGATGTGGTGCTTAGGGACATGGTTTAGTGGTTGGACTTGGCAGTGCTAGGTTAACGGTTGGACTTGATGATCTTAAAGGTCTTTTCCAACCAAAATGATTCTATGATTCTATAATGATTTAAAAAAAAAAATTTAAAAAAATGAAATATCTTGGTTCATTGCAGTAGCTATTAGCTTATTGTCCAGAAAGTACATTTTATGGTTTAAAATAGCTTGTGAATGTGAAACATAACTTAAAAGACATTAATAGTAGCACTTAGCGCCCTTATCAGGAAGTTGCAATTGCAAGTGCAGGCTTATGTGCTCAAAGACTAATGTGATCCTAAGAACTGGTAAAAGATAAATACATGGAAGAACACTGAGGTCCCTTGCAGGTGGAGCGTACGTTAGCTCTGTAGTGCCATTTTTACCAAAGATGTTTCCATATGAAAACTCATATGGACAAATTGGTTTGAAGAGAAGAAAATGTGGTGAGAAATAATGAGGGAAGCACGAGAAGGTATCTGAATGATATATAGAGCAACCCCTGGTACTCCGTTGTGCGAATATAGTAAATCAGTCATGGGATTCTGCTGGCATCTTAAACAGCAACCCAAGCAGATTATGAATAGCAGTGAAACCTTGAGATTGAATTACAGCCCAGCATTTGGAAGCAGCAATTTTTATTTGGAACAGCTGGAAAACAATTATAATAATTAAAATACAATAACTTAAAGGATGCCCAGAAACTGGATATTGTCTTCACTAATCTTCAGTCATAAAATATGTGCAGTCATTTCCGTGTTACACAGACAATCATTTACCGTTCCTCTGATGAAAATAGGAGATAACCACATATTATAACAAAAGAGAAATGAAATGCAGAAAGTGGGCTGGGAAAATTTCCTTGAAAATAACAATTTCTTCCTGTATTACTATAAATGACATTAATTTGATGCCTGACAAAAGATGTTAATACATTTTGCATGACTTTGTCAGTTTCTCCTTAGCATATAAACTATCATAGTATTAATTCTGTTGTCTTAGAAAAAAAAACTGGATTTTATTCAGTTTTCTCAACAGTACTTTATCACACAAAACATGTTAATGGTTGAAATGGAACTAGTTGAGGTGTTTTGCTGGCCTGCTTGGCCTAGCACTGTGGGCATCACAGCTTGTGATATCATAGAGCTCGTACCTTTCTAGGCAATAGAACTGGATGTTGACTGATAAAATATTTGTGTCACCCAAAAATAAAAGTATTTTGACCATATTTCAGTTTTGCCAAAAAGATCATCTTGACATTAGGAACTAATTCTAGTGGGAAATTCCCAACCAGATCTAATAAGTTCCACCTTCTGGAGCTAATTCCTGTTCTCTCTTACTTTTGTTTTCATCACAGTGGCCTTTCCTTACTCATCCTGAAGCAACAAGGCATTACCTCTCTGCAGTTTCAGTCCTTGAAGCAAATCAGCGCTGGCAACATCTACATAACAGACAACAGCAATTTGTGCTACTACCACACTGTCAACTGGACCAGCCTTTTCAGCACGCCCAGTCAAAAGACGGTGATTCATCGAAATAAAAAGGCAGAGAACTGCAGTAAGTATTGCTGCTCAGTGCAAATCTTGCCTGTGATTGGCTCACTTGGGGGGAAAATACAATTACTGACAGGATACAGTGCAGTGAGCAGGCCAAGAACTTGGCTGGTGTCTCTTGGAGCTCCATGGGCATAGGTGGGAGCTGTGATCATTTGCAGAATTTAAGGATTTGGCCCAGTCTGCCTCTGAGCAGATTTATAGGCAAATGAAATGTTTTAAAGTATGAACAAATGAAAGGGAGGAGAGAGATGGCACTGCTTCCTTATTGTGATGTGAACTTTCTAGATTAGAGATCCAGTTTCACAAATACAAATTCTGAAGGCTGTAAATAATGTGAAGTGAGTGTAGTGGTCATGAGAGGCAATGATTTTAAAGATCTGAAAACTAAAGCCCTTTCCTTATGGAGTGAGATTAGCATCTTTTGCTGCTTCCACCTTGCCTCACCAAAGTGGCTCTGTCTTAATCCAGAATACAGTAAAGGTTCTTTTTTGCTTCAAGCTCTGTATAACTTACAAAATGTTAGAAGACAAGAGAAAACCACTCGGAGGTGAACTTTGTAAGGCGCTTTTCCCTTCCTGGAATAGTGTCCTGTTGTTTCACTGGTTTTGAGAGCTTGGGGACATAGCTGAACACAGAAGTTTGGAAAATATTCCCATATTAGTTCTCAGGTCTCCTTTGTCAAATACCTTTCTGCCCTTTCCTGTGATCGTTAAGTATGAGTCCCTTTGAAGCAGCCACAACTACTGAAACATGGGCTTCCAGGGCAAATGGAAACTTGGATGTACTGTCACATCATGCTCTGGACTGCACATCTTGTCATTACATTTGCACACGAAGGGAAAATGCAAACTTTGACTTTTAGCTTGTTGAAGATTTGTTGTAATAGAGACTCGTTATTTTCCAGGAACAAAAATACTCCTAAACGTATTTTATGAAATTTAACACCAAGGGAATCTTCATGAGGAAAACAAATCTCATTCATTTCAAGAATTTACAATGTAAGCTACAGTACCAAGGGACTAGTTTTAAAAATGGACTCTAACCTATGTTCATTAAATGGACTGTATTTAATGAACATAGGCTAGGGGCCAAGCAAGTTACTTCGATCAGAAGGCAGTGTCTTAGAGAGCTGACTTCCTGAATCCTAACAGGGAACAGTGGTTTTCTCTCTCTGTGCACATCTGTGTGAATGAATTGATTAATGTTTTGTGGCCTATTGAGAGTCAGCATTAGATGAGAAGAGCTGTCCCGCTGCTTCAACTCTGCCTGTCAGTCAGCACCTCTCTGGAGTCAAATGGGTTCTGCTGCAGGTTAGATGTCTAACTAAACTCTTCACAGTTACTTGGAGTAAGGCAGAACTCTGCCTTAGAGCCAGATGCATTTCTCCAGCATCCTCTGAAACATCTGTGATTTTCAGGATAGGCCAACAGAGTGGGGTTTAGGAGAGTTTCCTCTGAGTCTTCCACTGCCTGAATGTTTGGGATCTGGGGGCAAGCCTCTAGGGTTTCCATTTCTGCCTTTCAGTTATTTTGCCTGTTCTAGACCCTGATCCTGCAGATGCTTGGGCATATGCCCATGCCTCTTTGAGTGACAAGTAAGACTAAGAAGGGGGAAGGGAAATGCATAAGTAAATATTTGCAGGATTGGAATCCATCCTCTGGTATAAATACTGTCTGCTTGCATGGTAACTAGCAGGGTGTGAATTGTTAATAGAAATTTCTTCCAGTGAAGAAACCAGTCTAGACCATGTTAATTATTAGTCACTCTGGTATATTTATTATTATTCCTTTGTATATTTTGAGTCACTATCAGCTTGGTTTTGCTTTCCTCGCTATCTAGTGATTGTTAATGGCTTAAAGCAAGTTACAGCAAACATTTAATATCCATGAGTAGCTTTTCTTAAAAATCATGTAGGGACTTCCAAGATCTAGTCAGCATCATATTTAAGTGACTTTTAGGATATATCACAAGATGGTGATATCTTTTCCATACCATTTAATCATGTGTTCAGCTGACGATATAAGTCAGTGAGGAAATAATAAAAAAATTGTTGAAGGAGTAAAATATTTGTTGAAAAGTTCAGTCTATAGTGATGCTTCATCTTCAAGATAACACTGACATAGGGTTTGGCAGAACTCTGATTTTTTTATTTTTTTTTTCAATAAGGAAGATGAAGACAACAAAATTCAGTCAGTGCAAAATGCTACAGAATTATCCAACGCACAAAATATACTTTATACTCCTGATACCATCAATTATTTCATCTTGCTATTTCTGTTACTTATTAACAATATTAAAATATTCACCAGATATTTCAGTACCTTTGAGATGGCTTTTCTAAAAGCTGATTAAAAGCCTAGGGCAGACTTTACTTGTTCGTAGAATGTTGAAAACAGAGGAGCAAAACGTATATGTGTTTTTTTGAATTTAAAAAAATCCACAAGCCCCACAACGCTCTATTGCTTTGTGTTCTTTCTAATATTGTCCCGTGCAGGGCCAAAGAGGGGTAGGTACCTGGAAGGAATGTAACCTCTCTCTTCTCCACCTTCCCTACACATATTTAGGGATAGAAATGTCAGTGCCCAAGCTTGTGTATGCTAGGAACATAGAAGAAAGTGGCACCTTTCAGGCTGAGCACCATGGAAAGGGTGGCATAGGTGATCATCAGCGAGAGACTTCTGAAACTGCATAGACCCTAAAAGATGGCTAGGCTTGGGGGCTGGTTACAGGAGATTTGAGGGCAAGGGACAAGTTGAGGCTTCAACAGCTGCTGCACCTTTAGCACAGTCTGGTAGTGTCTTCCAAGGTTGTTTAAGAGTTCAGATGGCAAATGGGCATCTTCAAGCTGATAAGCCAAGTGGAAATGAATTGGAGAGCATTTATCTAAAATGCAGTGCATGAAGCTCTCATCTAATGTAGACTTCTAATTCTCTACTACTATAAACGGTAAAATTAAGCACAGTTTGTGCATAAAACTTACTTTGTTATGAACATTATTAATGCAGAATGAATCCCTATAAATTTATTTGCTAGAGACTATGCTCTGGTAGTTTGATTTTACTATTGCTCCATGCTGAAGAATCTGCCTTTTTTCCCCCCAGTGTGGGTTTTTTTATGGAACAGTCAGAGGTGAGTCATGTTAAACATGAGTGCACACAAAACAGATGTAGAAAAAAATGTTCTTTTGAACAAAGTTATTTAAATAATTCCTTTCAGCTTTAGTGATACCTGGAGTGTACAGTGAAACCTTTCTAGGCAAAGGTTGTTATGAATGTGATTGTTATGAATTATGTCAATTTAGCCACCAATTAACAACTTGAAGAAATGTTTACATTCATTATCAGGCGTGATGCAAAGCTAATTGAAGTCTGCAGGAGCTTTTCTATTGAGTTCATGGAGCTTTGGATCAGGCCCATACATGTACAGCCAAATAACAATCATTTTTCTTTTTTTAGATAGCTAATTTTCTTGTGCTCTGTCTAGGTTGGGGAAAAACATTGAACCTTTCTGCTTCTAACCTGTGTGACCCCATTAATAAGGAATGAACACTTGTTCTAAAACTCCTGATGAAAATTAATTCCTGTCAAAAGTATTATTGTTCGTTCTTCCACGTACGGCCGTGTGATATGCTGGAGCTTCAGAACATTCTCAGCCTATGGAAATGCCTAATAATGTGTCTAAAATTGAAACATTTCTTTAGCCATCCCTATAATTAAAGAAGAGGAAGAAAGACAAGCGTAATGGATTTTTATAAGTTGTCAAAAGAACCACTCCCTTCTTGCCAATATTCATTTATGAAAACATTTCTATGACTTAGAAATAAAGAGAAGGAAATAGTGATTTATTTTTTTCCTATGTTGCTTTTTTCATAGACTACAGGCACTGTGTTGGCTAGATTTCAATAGGGTAATCATGATTTGCTTTACTGAAAAGCTCTCATTTTATTTGCATAAGGTTACTCAGTATATTTTCTGAGCTATCTGGTAATAGTCTCACTTGCTCTTTGAAGGGATATTTTAGTGCAACACTGTGTGCGTGCATGTGTAAATAAATTCTGATCCCAGAGTCGTCTGACAGCTGAGAACAGTGAAAAGAAAGGAAATCACTAGTAATAAAAACACAATTTCAAGTTACTAAAAAGGTGAGAAAGCAAATAGGAAACTGCCTTTCAATGACAAGAGGGTATAAAACAAAAATCAGAAGAATTACTAATATTTTTAAGATTGAAGATAAGAACAAAGGGATATCCAAAGCAGGGTGGTTTTTCATCTGTGTGTCGAGTACTTAACATGAGTCATTGACTAGAAAATAAAACTATTCATATAAAAAGTTTGCTTAATTAGTTTCTGGCATTGGTGGGTTTTTTCCTTTTTTTTTTTATTTGCTGATACAGTTTGAGCCTGAAGCTGTGTCATAATCGCAGGTGTCCCTGTGGCATGCAACGTGAGGGAGGACTCACTTATTTGTCTGGTCAGTGTCAGTCATGTCACCGTGAGACTGGATGAAATCAAGGGAGATAGGCACACCATGTGTGAAGGGCTGGAAGGGAGCCCTCAAGTGTGCTCTAAATCCTAAGGCATAATTGGTGTTCCCCTAAATGACCAGCTGTATCACTTGGAGCTTGTTCCTGGGTGCTGCTACAGGCAACGAACATGAAATAGGCCCAAACTGACCTTGACAAGTCAATGTGCCTTCCGAACTGTATCTCACAAAGCCAGCATTAGACTGAGATATACATGAAATGTCTAAAAGTAGGCGAAAAAGGAAACTGTGTGGGCTACACGTGTAGCGTTTGCTAATGCAAAACTTTCACCTAGTTCCTTTGATTTAAATGAAGTTTAGTCAGTGGCAGCGTAATGGAACTACTGACATCTGGTAGTTGTTATAAAAATGTTGCCACGCTTAAAAAAAGTTAGGGTTAGGACAATAATGAAAAGCTGAATTTTTTGTCTCTGCTCATACTGACTTTGTGTGGTATGGTTCCTTTGACTGCAAGATTTACAGGGAAAGAGGGCGAGAGATCTCTATGTAATGGCATGGTGATAGCTCAGGTCTCTCTTGCTGTGCTGGAATCTCTGAGAATTAATACACTTTAAAGGAAATCAAATGAACATCTGGAATTACACCTAAATTTAATTATTTTATGTTTGGCTGTACCTGATTTGAGCACTGAGGCAAAAGAAGAACCAAAAGGATATTTCTGAACACCTTCTGGATGTTATCATTTAGAAAGTATATTTGATATAAAAAAAACCCAAACAAAATAAAATACATATATTCAAGCATTCCAGGCTTGATAAGGCATGAGTGTGCAGACTTTTCATGTCTGAGGTTATTTGTGGTATTGTATTGAATAAGACAGTGCTCATCTACCTGCTTAATTACGTGTATTGTACAGCAGATCCATGCAGGGTCAGCAACAGCACTGTACAAGTAGAAAGCATGCTGGTGAATCTCTTGTTCTTGGATCAGTTTGCCTGCAAGGGCTGGAGGATGTAAAATCTTTGATTCCTATGCTGCTTGTAAAGATGTAAAGGTCAAATGTCCTTTTTTGGCACTGATTATGAAAATGTTCTAAGCAGAAAAAGAAATAAGTAGATGATAATCTGCCATTATCAATCTCGATAAAGCAAAATGTCCTACTGCAAGAAGAAAGGAAATATGGAAGAAGCTTCACTCCTTGCCTACTTACTACATGGGCTAGGAGAGAGAAACCACACATAAAATTGTTGCTTTTTTTTTTTTTTTTTCCTGAAAGAAATGCTTTCTGATAAATTCAATGGTCAGAAAGCAGGGTGACAGTGGAAGGAGGGACAGGACAGGTAGTGTCTATCAAAGGAGAGCACCCTGACAGTGTGACATGAACTTCCTGCATCTCGTCAGGGAAAAGGAGGTGCAGGAATTGCTTTGTAGGAAACAGAAGAGGACATAGGCTAGGCATGCTGTAGAGAACAGAAGGATGTGTTTGACAAACATGGTGCCAACACCAAACAATGCTGTGTGATGAAAAGCAGCGATTAAGGAGCAATTAAGGAGAGAGTCGCTGTGTGAAGCATTGTGCTCTCCTGTACAGTGGGCTGCTATGACAGATATTCAGTGGTTCAAATATGGGACATTATATATCCCATAGCACAGAATAACCATTGTTAAAATATGCTGTGGAGAGCAGAAAGCATCTTTCTGCTGATTTTTTCATGATTTAGAAGGGCTTTGCGTTTCTCAGGTAATAAAGCTCAGTATTCTCTTTAATTGTTGAGGTAGATTGTAAGGGACAGTACCTAAACGCACTGTTGCAGTCTTGACAGTGCAGACAAGACCATCAAGTATCCTAAATGAAAATAGAGCTTTTTTTTGCCCCAGTCACCCAGCTATGCTGCTGTATGATGGAAGCATAGAAAAACAGCACACACAGAATTACTGTCTTTTTATTTAATATATAGCTGCCAGAGGGCTTTTTGCATTTTTCCAAAAATATTTTCTGTTGATTTTGCTATTGCCCCTCTTTAAATGTGTGCTGGAAGTATGCAGTTGCTGTTTTATAGGTGTATTCAGTTGTGTTTGTTCCTGACTGGGCATCTTCATTGCTACAATATTGGAGGCAGTGGTAGAATTCTACTAGCAAACCTACTTTTAATTTATTATTTGACACTTTCCCTCAAGTTGTTTCCAGTGGTTTAAAAAAAACAAAACCAGAAGTGTTTATATATTTGATTGGGTATTTCAGATCTTTGCTAGTTTTAATCTACTCAGTTTAGTGGGTAAGCATTTGCATAAAAAAATTCATCATGCAAGAGTGAATTCAAATTAAGAGATCTACCCTTTCACATGCCAGGGTCTGGCTGAATCTGTGCAACTGAACTTTCTTTAGATGCTGGAGAGATAACGTGTTTCCTTTTGCTCTTTGCTTATTTTCTCCATCTGTCACCATCATTTAGATATTTATGCAGAGAAGGATTTATATAAAATAAAAGTACAGAATTAATTATATTGTTTGAAACAACCTTTTCCCTTCACCCTTTGTTCATTTTGTTTATTTAAGCAGAATTTTGGTTTTGAGACAGGGATCATTGTTTATTTTATGTGTGTTTTGGGTTTTAATAGAAAGGCTCTTTGGCTCTTCAGGTGCTTTTGCAATAAGCAATTTAAAAAACCCCCACAGTTAATGATGACTTTTTTCCAACTTTTTCCCCACTATCCATAAGTTTTATTTCAGGGAGTCCTCAATTCAGAGGTAGTGTTTTATATTTTAGTTTAATAGCCCTTCTGTGGATTTGGAAAATTGATTTTTCAAATCCTTTACATTGTTGGCATTCACCATGTCCTGTGTCAGGGAATTCTGCAGCATTGATCTATACTTTCTATGAAGAAAAATCTCAGTTTTGAACCCTGTTTGGTTCCTGTCTCTTTGAATGCCCATAAGGGATTGGAAGAAGCAATGAACAATTGTTTCATGCTTACTTACCTTCTTATTGTCATTCATGATTTCATAGACCTTTGTCATGTCCTTTCTCACCCATAGCTAAGGCTACTCGTCTGTTTTTTCTTGGTATAGAAGCTCTTCTGTAGTTTTAGATCATCTGTGCAGTGCTCTTAAACCTTTTTCTCACTTTACTATATCCTTTCTGAAAGGAACACAGCAGAAGTGCATACAGTATTCAAACTGTGAGTACATAGTGTGTTTCTGTAGTGGTATGATGGTAATTTTCTGGTTTTTCTCTATTCTGTTTCTAGAAAATCTGAACATGTAGTTTACTTAGTTCTGAGTATGGCAGAATGCTGAATGAAATGTTTTCCTTTGGATTTCAGAGGACCACGTAAATTAATGATTGTATCCTCTCTCTCTGCAGCTGCTGATGGAATGGTGTGTAATGAGTTATGCTCAAGTGATGGCTGTTGGGGGCCTGGGCCAGACCAGTGTCTCTCCTGTAAGCGCTTCATCAGGGGAAGGACCTGCATAGACTCTTGTAACCTGTATGATGGGTAAGATATTTCCCTTGCACTTTTCCCTAAAGCTGCTGACTACGTTGTTCAGGACTTCTCACGAGTAAGTTATTTTGGGTTTACATTAGTCAATATCTGGTTCCATTGCCAATATTACTGATTCTGAGTGAAATACATTGCGGGATAAGTTTTAGGTATTTCCAAATTTGAACTTGTGTAGAAGGCTTTACCTAGTATTCTGCTGACTACAATTTTCATCCAACATCAAAAGTATGTTGCACCTGTTGCATTTCTGATCATGTGAACAATTTGACTTAGATGAAGACTAAAACCCCACTATTTAGCTCTACTTGAATATTGACACCCCTATTCAGAAACACATACAATTGTGTTCTTTCAGATTGGTTAGGTTTAGGCATGTGATAAAGAGTAAAGACCCCAAAGTAGGAAAACACTTTTTTTTTTTCCCCTAATATACTCTGTATGCGTGCACACGAATACAAATAATAAAATGAACACAAGTTTTACCCTTTTTCCTTCTCCCACTTGTACATGTGCATGATTTGTTCTGGGAGATGAGCGGGGGAATACCTACATACAGCACAGCCAAGGTGGCTGAGTCTGGCTTCTGACAGAAAAATAGAGCTGAACTGCTTGTATGAGCTGCAGCAGAAGAAATTAATAATTAAGCTGTGGAGGGAAGCAGGTGGAATTTCACTTCCCATGTAACAGTATAGCAAGGTCCCTGGCACCTCTTTTAAAGTCAAGATAAAAAAACCTAAATTATTTTAATTATCTTTTTCAGCTCAAACTGCTAACTGAAAATAAGATCACTGTATGGTTTCTTTCTCTTCCTGCCTTGGATGCCAACTCATGTAACCGTTATGGAAAGAGTATTCAATGAACTCCCATATATATGTGAAAATATTCTAAGCTCTTCTATCTGGACAATACACACAAGAAAAATCTTGTCAGAGTACAGTTTTATATGCTTAAAAGCCCATCTTCTCCCCCCTCCTCTCCCCTCATTTCCCCCCCCCCAAAAAAAAAAAGTTGCAGACCACAGTTGTGTTCTCATCTGCATGGGAATCTATTGCACCACATTTGCTGGCTGGCATCACCATGAAGCCTATCACAGTAAGATCACAAAGGGCTCTCATGACCAGCCCTCACGTTGGGATGTTCTGATCTGTATAAATCAGTGAAAGGTATTTAAACTTTCCACAGGCTCAGTTCCTTCCTAAATAATGAAGTGGTTTGTGACCTGGGAGAATTATTTTTCATTTGTTTGAGAGCTCTAGCACGTTTCATCTCTCAGGGCAGCAACAGTACTTCAGGCTAGGGTCAGGTGTATTTGACTTCTATTTTAGCCCTCAACGGGACAGCTCTATCTCCAAAGCCAGAGAAGGGTGAGCTCGCTTGCCATGGTCAAGTGAAGTTTACCTCAGCTGTATTGTTGCAATAGGTCCTAATGGCTGTAGAGGAGCAGAGGGGAACATGGATAAACTAAGCACAGAGGCCTTCACCTTTACCTAAATATTATTAGAGCCCACTAACATGAGTGTGCAGCACATCTTTAACTGGTTAAGGCAACAAGATGGGCTCTGTCTATAAAGCATAGGTGTCCAGTCTCAGCTAGTTACATAGTTTCTCTCTGTGGTTAGTGGGAGAGAAGTGACCTGTTCAGGTGTTAATTCATCTCAGAAGAAGGTGGAATGAATTGTGTTCAGAAGATGCTGGAGGTTTTTTTTGTGAGTGGCAACTGGAAGCTGAAATGAGACACCTGGTGTTTGATGGAAGAAATCCCACCTAATTATCACTACTTTTTTCCCTCATTAGAAGTGGTTAATAAAAAAAACCTAAATCACTTGAGTGATAGTTTCTTGTGGATACATGAAATAAATGAGCAAAAGGATTTGCTTTGACATTTTATAGATTCAGACCTCAGTCTCGAATTGTTGTTGATGAAAAAGTTATGAGCCTTTTGGAGAATGAGCTTTAAAACAGGAGTGTGTGCAGAGACTTAACTAAAACAACAAGAGCAGCACTGTGATCAATGCTCTTTCTAATCTTTTCTTATCTGATAGTGATGTTTCACATGTAACAAGTGCCTTCCTGAATCTTGAGCCATGAAGGACAATTCCATAGATAAAAATCAAGAAATGAGCTGGTTTGTCCTGTTAATGAGGTCCTTATTTCTTAAGGAAAGAAGAGAAAAAAAAACCACTCTGGTTTTATACTGGTAAACAAGATGTCTACTGCTTCACCTGCCTATGAATGAGGGTGCTGATGGGGCCAGGTTTGCAGCTGGTGTAAAGCAGCACAATGTCCTTAACAGAAGTGATCGCAGCTGGTATGGTGATGCTGAACTGATTTCCAGCAGGTGAAGAGCCAGCCATTTTGTCTCGGTTTCAGTCTGACTTTAGCTTTCTCCTAACTGCTTGCAAAATATTTTCTAGGGAATTTCGAGAATTTGCAAATGGTTCTGTCTGTGTGGAGTGTGATCCCCAGTGTGAAAAGATGGAAGAAAACATGATCACGTGCTATGGGCCGGTAAGAACAACATTTGTGTATTATGGGCTAGCTTGTTAAAGTGTGCTAAAGCACAGGCATTTTCTGCTTACAGACTGTAAAGCAGCTTTTGAAAATTAGTGTTAAAAAAAGCAGAAAATATGCATATTCTGCATGTAGAGAAAGAATTCTGCTCATGTTAAATTGGTGCAATAAATTTGCTTGGATCAGCCTCCTTAAGAAAGTGGTTTAAAAAGTAGTGCCCTTTTCCTTCCTGAGTTTTCTTAATGCCTTAGTGGTACAGATACGCACATTTTTAAAATGACAGATAGCATGCAGTTGTGATATGAGTTCCCTCTTTTATTGCTTTTATTGTTTTCATTCTTTATACTCAGTTCTGTCCTGTTCTTCTACAACTTAAGTTACCTTCTCCTCCCTCCCCACCCCCTCTGCAAAAACGTGTAGGAGTTTGTCTTAGTCTCTCAGCTTGAACAATATGTTGGTTTGGGGTTTTTTTTAACTTAGGTTAGCCTTTTAGGTTGTTTTCATAGAGAATTTTTTTCATGCATCCTAAATGAGTGTTAACTGCAGCTATCACCTTTTATAATGGCCGGTGAGTCTGCTTTTGTAGATTGTTGCTCTATTGTGAGATAGAAGTTGTCTCTTTCTTTTGGTCTTTTGTATGTTGCCCAGATTAAAAGTCACAAGTATCCTGGGCAATGAGGAGCTGTATTTTAGGCTCTTCATCATTGAGAAAATTTAACCCATAACTTACTTCCTTATTTCTGTGACTTACCTACTGAATAGAAAAAAAGGCATCATCATTTTTGTTGCAATAGTGTTTTCTGCAGCCCAACCATAAAGCAAGAGGCTAATGTTTCAAATATTTAACTCATGAGGGAAATTTGGATTTGTAGCAGGGTTCATGGACGTAAAAGCCTAGACCAGTGCCCAACCTGAACACCAGATTTCATTATGCACTGGCTTATCATCACAGCTTTAAAGTTTTATTTTTACATTGTCCAGGAGCCTTGCTTTGTAGTTTGTAACAATTTAGTCTATGTGTGTATTAAGAAGGAGCCCTTGTAGTTCTTCGGTATTGTTGTGACCAGATACCACAAGGAGAATGCAGTGTGGAAAATAATTCTGGAGTGTAGAGGTCAGGGATCCCACTGAAAGGCCATTGCAGTTGCTTTGCAAATGTGGTTTGCTATTGAACAATGTTGTGGGAAATTTCTCAGAGTTAAAGTGGGCATGAAGTCCATTGTGTTAAGCACACCAATAATATCGAGAAACCTGTTTAGAAGCTGGAATTTAGTCTTGCATTCTACAGAATAAGTGTATAGCCAAAAGCATCAGGATATACATGTCTGCTGCTCCTTAACAGAGACTGGAACCATACAGCCAATTCACTGTTGATTTGGAAAGAAATGCGACTACAGTTAAAGCTGAGTGCGTTGTCGCTCTAGGACCTGCAATTCCAGTGCAGCGGGAAAAGACAGAGTAACTTGAATGCACTGTGTTTCTTTCTTCTGCGTTCTCTAGGGACCTGACCACTGCACGAAGTGTTTCCATTTTAAGGATGGTCCAAATTGTGTGGAAAAATGTCCTGATGGCTTACAGGGGGCCAACAGCTTCATTTTCAAATATGCTGATGAGGATCGTGAGTGCCATCCATGTCATCCAAACTGTACCCAAGGGTGAGTGCAAATTCTGTGAAGTGAGCCACCCTATTTACTGTGTATAGCACACGATGATTTACATACAGTTTGGCTTGGTAAAGCGCTTGTCCCGCTCCTGAAAACAGAGTACGTGCAGCAGTAATGTAACCTTTGATTTTACAGGTGTCTCATGACATTCAGGTTCCAGTCATGAATGTCCAGCAGCTTATAAGAAAAAAAGCTTGCACCCCTTTTGAAAACCATAGAGAACAACTTTTCACAGCAGTGCTCTTAGCTTGTCTTCTAGCTAGCATTGGTTTGTAGGAATGCTGCCATTGACACTTATGTAAGTGTAGGCCTGTAAAATGACTTTATTTTTAGTATTTACTTGTTGACAGAATTTTCATCTCTGTCCCTTGGTATTGGTGAACTAACCTGGCAGCACCACTGTGAGACCAAAGTGTTACTGCCCTCTTTTTCATATGGTGACTGATGCAAAGAGTTTCTGTGAAAGCAGACTCTGTCCAGGAGTCTGAGTCTTAGCATCAGTTTCACAAGTCCTGTCTAAGTGCCCAAAATCACTTGTTAGGTTTGGAAATACACAGCCCGTGTATCTGAGCCAGAATTAAGAATGTGTGCAACAAAATAATAGTAGACACATACACAACTATTGTTACGCATAGGCCATGTAAGTTATAAATGTCTTTTTGATGAGAAGATTGGTGGTGTCCAGCATACAAAGAAAGGAAGAAGCAGCCAGGGGAAAAAAGAGAAAACTTCAGCCAGTGAAATAATCTTCGACAAGAGGCTCTTATTGTTTAGCATCTAAAATTAAACCAGTAAATTATTCAATGTAATCTTGATGTCAACAGCTGTTGCCATTCAAAATGAGACCTTTTGCTGGTTTTGCAAATCTAATTACAATAGAGCCATTAGGGAAATGAAAGTGAGATGGCAAAGACACAGCCAGGATCTGTTACAGATTTGTCTTCCCCTCAGACCCTTTAAATCAGTTACGCAATAAGAAAAACGCTGCCACTGTGGAAGAAGAGTGTAAGAAGAAACAATATGAAAAGATGAGCTCACTTCAGGAGCTCTGGTCCTGGCTTTAATAGATGGTGGAAGTGCCAATTCTGACCGAATCTGACAAGCCCAGCTATGGATGATAGATTTACTGTCCACCCTACATAAGAAGTGCCTTGCACTTCTGCTGGCCTCTCAGAAGAACAGGATGTGTCACTTCTTCCCATTCCCTCCTCTTTTCTGGGGAGGTCTAGCTGATCTATTACTAATCTTTGTGGCACAACTATGTTTCTCCTAGACCAGGAAGGGAGCACGGTGTTTTCCATGCCTTTACGCTTCTTCATATGCATCAGTTTTTTGCAAGTGGTTGGTTGTTTTTATCTCCTGGAGAGAAAAGGATCAAGAAGGGAGGCTTTTATGCCTTGTGATGAAAATCTGACATTCTAGATCATAAACAATTAGGAAGAGCATTAGGCAATTGTAACTGAACTTGCTGGTATTCATTGGCAACCATTGGTGACACAGGGTTCCTTTATGCTGAGGTGTGTTGTAATTTAATCCTTGAACTTTCAATTTTCCCTTTTTTTTTTTTCCTGCAGCTGATTAGGTGAAAGAATGTCTCATTTAGCATCATGTGCCACTCCCCAGAGAAATGACAAAATACCACTAGTAAAAAGGCTGAAGGTTTCACTGGGTTACACGTGTAAAGGTGTGATTGTCTCCCAGATGAGGAGCTATCCCTTTGCCATGAGTCAAATACTACTCCTCACAGAAATCCTCATCCTCCTATTAAAGGGCTAATGTGTCTATTCTTAGGTATTTTGTTTTGTCTCAGAAAAGCAACACCCCCACCCCAAATCTGGGTAAGCATGTGTATTCTTTCCTAGTGTTCCTAAAAACTTTCTGGCATGTGATTATGTTAATGAAACCATTAATGACTGCCCCAGATGTTTGAGTTTTATGGGTTGTCCATCATCTTGCCAACGTTGTCAGGGGCTGAATATGCCCACAGAGGGAAAGAAGGGAAATCAGTTTCTCTCCTTTTCTCCTTCAATACTGAATTCTCAAGTTCCATACACTTCCTTTAGAAATTAATATGTAAATTCCCCTCAATCAGGATTCTTCAGTGAAATAGGTTGTGGAAGGAACACATCTTGATATTTGACTCACGACTGAATGTACAGAGAAACCGTAATTCTACTTCATCTAGCATGTCTGTTCTCCTCTCTGTCAGATCAATTGCTGGAATCAAACCAATGCTCTCGCAGTACAGCTTGGATACTCATCAAAAAGTGTTGAGCTGCTGCAGAGCAGTGCTCTGCTGGTGTGGCATCATCTCATTCCTGTAGTGCTGCTCTCTGAATCAGGGTGCCTGCTAAAATGGGTTATTAGTTCTCATATGTTATTTGTAGTCATCCCCACCTGTTGCTGTCACCAAGGAAGATGTCTGACCCACCTCTGTGTTTCTTGTGAGCGTTTCGCCACGATGAAATTGTGGCAAAACTTGTAGATGATTGCTTTACGCCCCAAAGTGTGAGATTTGATAACACCATTCTCCTTATTCAAGTATAATAACTGCTTCTGTTAAAAGGTGTGTGATTATCCAGCCCTGTTAATGATCTTACATTGACTAAGAGAACTATCAAGGAGTGACTACTTTGGATGCAAAAACTGTGCTCTTGGCCTTGCATCTCCATGATAAACATCAGCTACTTGAAGCCAGTTGGAGTCGATCTGAGGCACATGGGACAGCTCTTCCATTTAATTCAAGAGAGTCAGAAAGCATTTGGCACCTCTTCTTGCAGAGCTAGCCAAAATGGAACACTTTCGCAGAAATAAAATACTAATTATATAATAGTATTTGACAGTCTGCTTCCTCGCTAGGCAAGACACAAATGGGAGATCTCACTGGACAGCTCCCCTCATCATAGAAAGGCATTTTCTCACACAGCTTTTTGAAGGAGGTGTATTACTCTTCACAAAAAACTTCATTATCCTAAACCAAGACCAGAGAAGTCATGGGAGCCTTATCAACACATGTGTGGTCCAGAAGGGATTTGAAGGCAGAGGGACTGTCTTATCCCTAAAGATTAGTTGTATTTTTAGGAAGGCATTATGAATTGCAGATGAAACAGTAGTACAAATTCAATGACGACAAACAAACTGAATAAGAAACTGTTACTATTTTGTTGATGCAAAATTCCCTCCCGCCCCAGTTCTTACTGTCACCATCAGTATGCACTTCTTGTTAGCTACGTAACCCCCTGGTTTTGAGTTGTCTGACTTGATCCATACCAATAGTTGGGTGACCAGGTCATCACCACAACTAAGGTTTTCTCCTGTCCAGAGTTAATCCATTTATGCTTTATGCCATTGTAATAATCAGTGTTGTTTGTTTCCAATGACAAAGATTTTTGAGAATTCATTTGACTAGAAATGGCTTGGCTATTCCACATCTGTGAACAGTTAAGACCCCACCCTTCAATCTCAAATAAAATTGATGAAAGTCAATGTTTGTGACAGAGGGAAAAGGATTGTTTTGGGAAAAAACAGTTGTTACTCAAATTTTCAAAACTGTTTTAACTCATAAATAGGATTATTATCTGTAAAGCTAGGATGAGCTCCAAGTGTCATTTTCTGTATAAGCTATATTGGACTGTTGTAAGGTACTGAATATATCGTTAATAAATTGGCATGTATCAGTTAAGTAGTTCATTTTACAGAGTGAACTTGGAAATGAAAATATCATCCAGGCTCCAAGCAGAAGAAGGAACCCTGGGGGTGAATGGAGTACCAGTGTGATGTATGATTGTGTCATGCTTGTACTTACATGTGTCAAAAAGCCTGAAACCAAGGAAGTTGCTTCCAGAGTAAAAATAACTCATGACTTAGTGGTGCAAATCAACTTGTTAATAGATATTGCCATTACTCACACAGAATTGTACTTTACTGCGTGTTATCGGGACAGCCAGTCAGAGAGTAGGAAGCTGTTCAACATGAGTAGGAGTAATGGAAAAATTGCACCTGGACAGAGTTTTATGTTTGGGGCTGGGAAATCCACTGAAGAAGATTACAGGTTTAAATAAAAATCAGTGGTGTTTCAACTTGGAGTGGGTGAGGTCCAAAGAGCTTGCTCTTCTTGGCTTCAAGTCCTGCTCTCCAAAAGTCTGAGAATAAATGTACAGATGTGAAATGACTCCAAGACAATAGGCTCTTTATGTTAGTCTGCCAGTTATCTGAACTAGTAGTGAGCTCTCAGACCTCTAATTTGAAGAGGGCCTTTTTTTTATTTATAGCAAGAGTCTGAGCTTAGCTTCTCTTGACATGCTAGGGAATGGAAGATCTGAACAAATTTTTCAGCCTCCTTCATTACTGAACTGTTTTTCTGTGAATTGCTGAGAGTGTCATGAAAGGAAGAAGTGTTGGATATGTTTGAGGCTGGTTAGAATTCAGTTGGTCCTGAATTCTGAAGTCCTGAAGACCAGGACAGCTGAAATTTCAAAACACACCTGCCATGAGTTTTCTCTATTAAGTTTCTGAATTGCATTTAAATCTACCCTTTCCACTTTATGCATTATCTAGCCACCTGGGTATTTAGTGAATCCTTTTTATGTCTGCACATTTGCTGAAAGAAACTGTTATTGAGGAAATCTTTACAATTTGTGTTTGCATGTCACAGGTTTTCTGTAAAAATAAAAATTCAAGTAAACAAACAAGAGGTAAGGTTCACTGTTGTTCTGCTCTCCCTGATGGACAGGTAAGGGAAAATTGAATTCACTGAATTTATTTTATAATGGCAGAGTGATAGCTAATTTAAATGCAGCAAAAGCTGATGAGTGGCAAGTGATGGTGAAGTGGAAAGAAGATCTCACGGGAGCATATTTGAACTCTTTCAGATTTTTGACATGCATATCCCTCTATCAAAGCCAAACTGAAAGCAGGAGACTTTAAAAAGACTTGGGGATCATACCTTAAATTTGAAATGCCTCAACAGAAGTGAGTTTCAGTCTACTGATGTGTAAGATCACCTGCTCCTGTAGTAGATGTACAGCCAAAGAGCCTGTTAATAAAATGGTTCTGAGATCTTGTTAAAGAATTGAAGTGGTTTGGTTTCCTTAAAATGCTGAGAGCTAGATACTCCCCATGGCTACAGAGGGACTAGCTGGGCATTCAGCTCTAAAGGGTGTCAAGTTGTCTTAACTCCTAAAAGCTTAACTTTACATATCTGTCTCTCAGAATCCTGACTGCTGTGCAAACGTCTAATTGACTTGCTATTTGAATGCAGAGGACTTAGGACACCTCTTCGCCTACTGCTCTTCATGAGGACAAGGAAAATCCACGCATATTCACATTTTGCAGACAGACTCTTTCCCCATGGCTGTGCTTTAGTGCTGCTGCATAAAGTGATTCCTTGCATTCCCATCACCTGTGGTGAGCATCTGCTGATTTTGCAGGTGGAGGACTTTTGGCAGCATCTAAGGAAAGCAGAATAAAATTGTCTGAATCAGCAGACACCATTTTGCTCTGGTTTTTGTTGTTGGAAGCTCATCCTTGAGCTTCCCTGATAAAAGCATAGTCAGCTTCCAAAATACTTCTGCCGTTGCTCTAGCTAGGAACTTAGAACAGAATGAACAATTGCATCAATTACAGAAAGAAAAGAAGTTTTGCATTGTGCTCCTGGAGGTCTCGTCTTGCAAATGAACAGTTTTTGTGCAGTAATCACTGGTTGACGATTCAGACAACATCCAGAAAAAGCAACTCTATTGTCAGGACTCCCACGTATGCAGGTGAAACCTGCCTTAAGTGTTGTTTGAGCCAAGATATGTCCAACCTTAGAGTGCTATTTATGTTGCTATTACTGTTCCTGTTGTAAGCTTGTTTTTGTCACAAACTGTAATTTTGTGGTGACTTGGGTCTCTCTTGAGAATTACAATTAAGAATGTGGCACAAAGAAGTGATTCCTGCTTCTTGGATCTGTAAATAACAGATTTCTCTCTTTCTCTCCCTATTTTCAATTTGGATTTGCTGCAGGTGCATAGGGCCACGTATTGAGGACTGCATCGGCCTGATGGATAGGTACTTGCCGAGTGATCGTTCCCTGTGTGTCTTCCATCTTCCACGTGTGGACAAGGGCGCATGCGTGTGCATGTCCTTGTGAATGGCAAATGACGTCTTTTGTTTGTAATTGCCTGCAGGTGTAGAGGTCCCGCTAGTCATGACTGCATTTACTATCCATGGACACGACAGTCCACTTTACCACAACATGCTAGGTAACATCCACCACTTCTCCATTTTTGTACACAAGGTCCTTCCCTGGTTGCCATAGGAATGTTATACTATCCAGTTTGTTCAGAAATGCAAATTACGGGGAGAATATAATTTGTCCTTAAGTAAGGTATACCTCTGAACACCCAAATTTACTTTTGCATTTGAAAGCCAATTAAATATCTTACTGACTTAGGCTGATTAGAAAATGCCATCTTTTTTCGTTTTGGGGTTAAATCAATAAGGGTTCAATTTTGAAATTTTCTACTGAAATACGTGTTTCTTGATGAAATTTTACTAGAAGTAAGCATGGTGAAAACTGGTTAAATTGGAATTTACTTTTTTCCATTTGTTGGGGTTTTTTTTTGTTTAAGACAAAGCTTAAAAGCAAATGAAGCTTTTTCTTTTGTACTTCTCTGTGGGGAAAAAAGTAAATGTTTCAGCAAACCTGAATTTCTTCCTTAATTTACATAACACTGTTATTTGCTTTTTTTAATTTTCTATTCAAAACCAAAAAATTGTAACCTTGCAACAATTTTATTTTTCAATAATGACAATAAAAAAAAATTAATGTAGGAAGAATCCCAAAACATTCCAATTATATTCTGAATTCTTTTTCATGAAAGCCCTTCATTGCCATTGAGTTTGCTTATTTTTAATTTCAAACTGGTTAGTATGACTTCCAGGCTTTGGGAGTACTGTCATGAGCTAAGACTGGATGAAAAATATATCATTTCAGTCAACTTCACCTCATTAAGGATTTTACTTTTTTTTTTCTTGTGTTTAAAAAAAGATTTTATGGTTGCCTCTCCTTCCTAGTTGTGCACGTAATGTGAGTATCTCTGTCTCTAGCTGTTGAGGGAGAACGTGTTTACACTTGGAAAACAGTACTCTATAAATGCTATCAGGTGGTATACTTGTTTAAATCAATGTCAGTTCTGACTTAATTCATGGACCAATAATAAGCAATGGAAGAAGACTGAGTTTTGCAATATTTCAATTTGTTAATTTATTTCTTAAATTTTTCTTATCTGGAGTATCCAGTTTGAGATACTTCTATGGGGGACTCGTTTTCAGATGTACTCATCCAGTCTGAGTTGCCCAAAACAAGGAATCAGTTTTAAAGTTCTCCATTTTGCCATCTTTATTCAAAGCACAAATATTGAAAATGTGTTGTTATTATTTGCATAAGTTTAAGGGGCTTACCAAACTACAGAGGACGAAGGCCATGCTGAAGTTCTTTGCTTTAGTAACCAATTTAAAAACAACACTTACTTCATCGGTTGGATTTTTGATCAGCTTTTAGGAACATTAAGGGTTTTATAGTAGGAAGACAACTTGTTGGCTGCAGTGTAACTCTCTTACAGCGTTACAGGCTGCTCACTCTAGCTTCCCTTGTTAGCCCAAAAGCCAGTCAGACCTCGTTCACTGTTTAATTCAAGTTGTATAACTCCAAAACTCACCTTTGCATTGAAAATGTTCAGGTAGTAGTAAAGTCTCTATAGGTACTGCCAAATACCCACTGAATTTGATGGAAAGACACCTTTTAATCGCAGTGAATGTAAGATTGGGCCCTATATTTAAAAGCGGAATTAAAGGAGTGGAACCTCAAACATGATGATACACCACTGAAGAAAGTGTTGTCCTGTAAGGTGCCAGGCTTAAGCCATGTGCTAGCAGGCAATGCTTATTTTGGTTTTTATGTTGTGAAAAGTTTTGTGTCCTTGAATCTACTGTCAAGGCAGTAAAGCAAGGGGAGTGGAAATTAAAGCAATCGTTTTACTTTGCTCATTGAATAGTTTTCTGCTCCATTCAGTCTGAGGGGGAAGACCCTGAAATGTTTCTTTTAGATCTGATGGATTTATTTTGTTGTTGTTCAAACTTGGCTGAATTTATTTTAGGAAAACACTGCACTGTGTTTAAATGTCAGGATGTATGTATTCTTTTACGTCCAGGCCAAAGAAAGGACATTTCATACCTTTATATTTATTAGATTAGTGAAATTGAACTTTTTTATTGTTGTTGTTGAAAATGGTTCATTTTGTTTGGGCTAAAAATGGGCAAAACTGCACTGGCAAAGTGATACTTTTTATTACAATAGGGGTTTAAATAAAAAATGGATGTGTTTCACTTTGGATAGAACCTTCTTCATGTCCCTTTAACAATTGTGTGCCCTCCCTAGACTTACAGACCTTAAAATAATTAATAATCAGATTTACCCTTATTCATTAACTTGAATTTCTTCCATTGATGTGAATTAGTGAGTTGAAGGGCAGGATTCTCTGCTATTCAGGCAGCTGAAAGTGACAGCAGGGCTCTAACCACAAACAATTGAGATATTTCTCATCTTTACCTATTTCTGTTTTCATACCAGTGTTGCTTTTCTTTCCAGTTTTGCAGTTTGTAAATTGGTTTCACTATGATCTGTTGACTTGAGGGCTTTTGTAAGAGTCTGATAGAATAGCAAAGGAATTCATACTGTCATGTTTAATAAAGATGAATCAGATATGCATCACATGGCTTGTTTTCCAGGTGACTAGTGAAACTTCAGTTTTTCTGCTTGAGTTTGCCCCCTTATATTTTGGGGGGAAAAAAATCCTTGCTTTTGGCATTGCATGTCTTTCTGCAATAGGTGTTTGGGTTTCTTAAAACCTTTAGCTTCAATAGAGTTCTGTCCAAAAGGATACAGGAAACCCTTTTCCTGTTTCCAGCTCAGTGCCATGCATAGGGGCTATTTTAGCCCTCTTCCTCTAGCCTACTTGATAGATTTTTTCAAATGACTGTTAGGTTACTTGCTGGATCTCATGCGTCCTTTCCCCGCCCCCCACCCTGTGAGAACCCACACTTAGTTTCAATGTGTTTAGTTGATCCTCACAAAGGCTTCCACTGTATTCTTAACTGCCAGGAAGAGTTCAAACGGTAAAGGAGTTAGAAGTTACGGGAGAAATGAGTGCCTCTTCTGCTTGTGGGTAGTTGCAAATTCTGGTTGTTGTCATTATAGCTCTTGATTTACTGTAGTTGAAATCACACAGCAGAGAAAGCCTTTCCTCATGCTTGTGACACACATTCTGCCTGTATTTATACCATGTTTAATTCATAGCGTCCCTATCACAATGTTGTCTGATGGTAATTTGTGTGATTCACTGAGACAGTTTGCTGAGCAGGTTTTCTGGCTGACCTCTTCAGGTTGCTCAGGTGACACGCAGGCCCAAAGGAATGGGACAGCCCAGAGGAGAATTCCTCATACAAGGTGGAGTCGTTAGCTGGCATGTAACTAATATCACTGATCCTTTGTCGTCCCTCCTTCCCTCCTTGCTGTGCTGAGAATCTCAGCGCAGGGAACAGAGAGGAGACCAAAGCCTTGTGTTCTGTTTTTTCTCAGCTGCTCGTAGCTCTTCCTGTTGTTCTTTACTTTTTGAGGGTGGAAGGAGCAAATACTAGATTATTACTGTAAGGCTTCAGTTTGGGTTTCCCCTTCTATATCAGCCTTTCCTAGAAATCACCAAAGCAAGGATGGAAAGCAGGTGGAGGCTGGAATTGCCCAGGATGCCCAAAGGAGTTAGCCCTCCTCCTTTCCCACGCCTTACTAGAATGACACTCCTCCTTTCAATACCTTCTGACAATTGTAGTTGGTGGTTTCTTTGAGTGAAATAGCATAGTTGTTAGCTCTGGAACAAAGAGCAAAAAGAGGAGTATACCTGCTTCAAAGATTTGGATAACCATTGCCTAAAAGGAAGATTGTAAAAATAATACTCTACTGTTCATTAAGAAAATGACTCTAGGCAGTCATGACAGACTGGTGGTTCTACGCTCCCCCGCTCCCAAGTCCACCAGAAAAGTTTGGCTAACTCAGTTACTGAAGCTAGGCTGTGGATAAAGTTTTTACTTCAAGTGTGAATTTTAAATGTGTTCATCCTTCCTGTGATTCATTGAGCTTAACACTAAGAGAGAAGAGATTGTCAAAGGAGGAGTGAAGTTTCTGTTTTCCGGTGCATGAGAGGTTACAAATCTGAAGATGTGATCAGAAGTGTGTGGTGGATATGATAGGAAGGAAATGGCACCTTGATGTTGTTGGTCCGAGTAAGCTGATGTGTCTCACTATTTACACCCTAAGAAAATTTCATTCGCATTTCCCTTTTAACTAACAGAAACTAATTAGCCAGGACCACCGTTGTCAAGTGGTTACATAAAACGATGTGTAGATGTTAACTCAAATTACAATCTCAATGCTAGCTTTATATCAACAAAGGACGTCCTCTCAACAAATCATCACTTCCTAAACAAAAAAGCTGGTTTTATGTACTGTGTGTGTGTACAAGAGCTAATTAACAGTAAACCCTATGTAATGAAGGCAAATCCTTTCATAGCTGTTTTGTACCCTGCACAGTATGACTTCAATAGAATTTCACAGCAGCTCTGAGTAGATTATGGGGAAGGGAAACCACCTCTAATAAACTGCTAACGTTCATTGCTTTTATGGCGCTCTGTGCCATTGCTTGGAGGAAAGCGTTCCATATGCTCTGTATTTTTATAGAATAATTATAGTCATTCTGGAGGGGAAGAGGAAGAGAATCTCTGTATAAAATAAGAGGAAAAATAGGATCTGTGTACAAACTAAGCTATATTACTTGATTAGTAAAAGATGCTACTCTTGAGAGACTTTTAATATGGAGCTTTCTGATGCTGTATCAGAACAGAGCAGTTGAAGAAACAGATTTATTTTTATTTTTTAAGAATCAAGTCTAGAAAAACAGGCAGTTTCTTATCCCACCCTTGTGGGTTGGATAGAGCTTACACTTGATCTATTTAGGACAGACTGAGAGAAATCCCTGTTCTCTGTGAGAACTTGCTGCTGCTG